GCTTCTAAATCCAGGATACATCAGCAGGTAATGCCCACCTTCTCTCCTGTCATTGCAAATGGAGCATTGAACCACTGCTCAAATGTGCTGCAGCTTTTGAAAATGGTGGGCAGCAGGAAGTTGAGGAGTGCCCACAGCTCAGGCAGCTTGTTCTGCAGTGGCGTCCCGGTCAGCAACACTCGCCTTGGAGCGAGGTAGTGGGTGTTTAGGACCTGGGTCAGCTTGCAGTGGTGGTTCTTCATCCGGTGGCCTTCATCCACAATCATGTATTTCCAACGGATCTGGACGACACAACAAGAAAACCCATTTTACTCACGCTACAGCTTCGCAGACCTAACCCTCTGCGCTTGTAATCAAACACATCTGAAATTAGGAACTGCTTTAGAGGACGATTTCTTGTCCACTTTGTCCTTGAGCATCCTGAGTCCTGAACCAGAACCCTCACCTAACCCACCTGTCAGCCCGTTCTGGAACCCTATAAGACAACATGAATGCATGGCAGCATGATGGCCACAGAGGACAATGGGGAGAGGCCATGTCAATGTGTTGCTGAACCTAGGAGAGAGAACTGAGACGCAGCAGAGGCGGGGGGTCAGACTGGCCAAACTCAACAGCTTACAGATGATTTGGGGGATTTAAAATCTAACAAATGGAAACACAGCAAACAATAGCGTCAAAATATAATAAAACAGGGTATAAAAAGCTGCGTGCAGCGTATTAACATTCGATGGTGGAACTCATTATGTCAGCTTGAGTTGGATTGTGTCTTGTGTCTGTCTTTCTGTCCTCTACAGGTGCTGGTCATAAAATTAGAATATCATGAAAAAGTAGATTGATTTCAGTAATTCCATTTAAAAAGTGAAACTTGTATATTATATTCATACATTACATACAAACTCATATATTTCAGATGTTTATTTTGTTTAATTTTGATGATTACAAATGACAACAAATGAAAATCTCAAATTCATCATATCAGAAAATTAGAATATTACTGAAGACCAATAAAAACAAAGGATTTATAGAAATGTTGGCCAACTGAAAAGTATGAACATGAAAAGTATGAGCATGTACAGCACTCAGTATTTAGTTGGGCCTCCTTTGGCCTGTATTACTGCAGCAATGCGGCGTGGCATGGAGTCGATCAGTCTGTGGCACTGCTCAGGTGTTATGATAGCCCAGGTTGCTCTAATAGTGGCTTTTAGCTCTTCTGAATTGTTGGGTCTGGTGTATTGCATCTTCTTCTTCACAATACCCCATAGATTTTCTATGGGGTTAAGGTCAGGAGAGTTTGCTGGCCAATTAAGAACAGGGATACCATGGTCCTTCAACCAGGTACTGGTAGCTTTGGCACTGTGTGCAGGTGCCAAGTCCTGTTGGAAAATGAAATCTGCATCTCCAAAAAGTTGGTCAGCTGCAGGAAGCATGAAGTGCTCTAAAACTTCCTGGTATGTGGCTGCGTTGACCCTGGACCTCAGAAAACACAATGGACCAACACCAGCAGATGACATGGCACCCCAAACCATCACTGACTGTGGAAACTTTACACTGGACTTCAAGCAACGTGGATGAAGTGCCTCTCTTCTTTTCCTCCAGACTCTGGGACCTTGATTTCCAAAGGAAATGCAAAATTTACTTTCATCAGAGAACATGACTTTGGACCACTCACCAGCAGTCCAGTCCTGTTTCTCTTTAGCCCAGGCAAGACGCTTCTGACGCTGTCTGTGGTTCAAGAGTGGCTTGACACAAGGAATGCGACAGCAGAAACCCATGTCTTTCATACGTCTGTGTGTGGTGGTTCTTGAAGCACTCACTCCAGCTGCAGTCCACTCTTTGTGAATCTCCCCCACATTTTTGAATGGGTTTTGTTTCACAATCCTCTCCAGGGTGCGGTTATCTCTCTTGCTTGTACACTTTTTTCGACCACATCTTTTCCTTCCCTTCGCCTCTCTATTAATGTGCTTGGACACTGAGCTCTGTGAACAGCCAGCCTCTTTAGCGATGACCTTTTGTGTCTTGCCCTCCTTGTGCAAGGTGTCGATGGTCGTCTTTTGGACAACTGTCAAGTCAGCAGTCTTCCCCATGATTGTGTAGCCTATAGAACTAGACTGAAAGACCATTTAAAGGCTTTTGCAGGTGGTTTGAGTTAATTAGCTGATTAGAGTGTGGCACCAGGGGCCATCAATTTTGAACCTTTTCACAATATTCTAATTTTCTGATATGATGAATTTGAGATTTTCATTTGTTGTCATTTGTAATCATCAAAATTAAACAAAATAAACATCTGAAATATATGAGTTTGTATGTAATGTATGAATATAATATACAAGTTTCACTTTTTAAATGGAATTACTGAAATCAATCTACTTTTTCATGATATTCTAATTTTATGACCAGCACCTGTACTCACCTTGGCCAGCACTTGTTTGTCCTTGATGATGTACTCGTAAGTAGTGAGTAAAACATTAAATTTGCCGCTGCGCAGCTGGGGGACAAAAGCTCTTCTAGCAGCGGGAGATCCCTAAAACACAAAAAAATATTTTTTTTTATCCTTTAAAAAATGCAAAACACTACATACATGCTGAAGGTGTCTGCGGGTGAAAACTCACCTTGTAGGACACTTTAACAACCGATGGGGCCCACTTATCAAACTCATAAACCCAGTTAGACAACGTTCTGCCAAACAGATTCACCTCAGTTTTCATGTGAACCAATATAACAACCACATGGTTTCTAAAGACGGACATTTATTTATTATCTCATCATGGAAGCAAGGATTAACTCACGAGAGGGGAACAATGATGAGGTAGGGTCCATTGAGCCGTTTGTGCTCCATGAGGTAGGTGATGAGGGCAATCGTCTGGATGGTTTTTCCCAGACCCATCTCATCAGCTAGGATCCCATTCAGATTGTTATTGTAGAGAGAAACCAGCCATTCCAGACCTTTAATCTGAAAGAGAAACATTCACCTGCAATTCAAAAAATTATTTCACAATCTGAAACACGCAATAAATAAACAAAGATTAAAGAAAATAGGGACCGGGACCCTAATCACATAACAAGAACCATATTTGGTGTGACACATGAAAGCTGATGAGTGGTAACTGTTTTTTATAATCATTTTCAAAATGATTTTAATTCATATTTCAATTAGCCGGACTTTTTAGTTAGCTATTTGCAGTGAACACATTTAGTTAACTTAATTTTTTAGTTTGCTAAGTTTTTATTTAATATGCAATGGATTCATTTATTTCTCTTTGAGTTGAAAGTTTCCTTTAGGGCAGCAGCTGGAGGGCTCCAATGAGCTCCAGCTTACTTCTGCTTATATGGTCAATGCAGCCTCCTCAGCTGTAATGGGAGAGGAAATGTGTTTGTCATATGTTTAGGTATTCTTTGTTTTGGAAAGTTGCGTTATATTTGTTCACTTTAAAAAAGCATTTGGTGTCTGACCAGTATTTGTCTGTTTAATTGAGTTTATTTGCATGTTAGTTTGTTAGTCAGTTACCCCCCTTTTTGCGTCCACAATTGTCTAATCAGCCACTATTTAAGTTTCCATCATGTCTTGTTTGGTCTTTTTGTGCTTGAGTTTTTTGTCTTAGTATCTGAATTGAAGTCTGGTTTGTTGACCTCTCTTTTTGGGGGTATTAAATTAAGACCTTTTTTGAAACAATTCAGTTTTCTGGCTGGTTTGCAAATCCCTCATATTTGGGTTCAAACCAAGTATTTTCTTTTTTGTCAAATGATTGGTATCGATATTAAAACTTATTTACTGAAAGCTGCTGTTTTAACTGTAGTAAGTCAGTTTATTCATGTCTCGTTTTGCAGCACCTGAAGTAATTTTCCATCTGTGAGGCAAAAGGAGAAAAAAAGTTACCTTGAAAATAATTTTATGAAAAGTCTGAATGCTGAGGGCTGCAAAACTCAAATGGTAAAGTGTTGTGAAAATAAAAAATACAGTCTAATGCGATTAAAAAAAGAGGTTAGTAGTCTTGATTAAGAGGAGGATGAATCAAATCCAAAGCCATCAATGTGCAGAGTCCGCCCCAAAGCAAATTAACACAAATCTCAGCTGAGACTAAGTTCATGTTCCAGAGAAGCTGTTTGATCTTAGGCTTTAACGACTGCAAAATTGTTGTGGTTATTGTAGTGAAAAACATCATATTTACATATTAATTGGAGCATTAAGCGAAAGTTTTAAAAACATAAATTAATGTCCTAAAGTAGCTGTTAAAAAGAAAAACAACTTTTAAGACTTCACCTCCGAGAACGTGTCCTAAAACATGAATGATTGATTTAAAATTCCTAAAAACTGTAGTTGTGTGTCTGAGTCAGAAAGACCTTAAGAAATAGGAGCACCCCCGCCAACAGGGGGGGACAAATGGGTCAAATGTCCCAGGCCCAGGACAGGGGGGGGGCCCAAATTGACACTCTGACTATTAAAAATACCGACAGAAGTAATTTTTCAGAAAAGATTTGTGATAAAAATATTTAATATTACACCAACTACACATTATATGCGATCAAACACGGGTGTATGTATATATATATATATATATATATATATATATATATATATATATATATATATATATATATATATATATATATATATATATATATATATATATATATATATATATATATATATATATATATATATATATATATATATATATATATATATATATATATATATATATATATATATAAATATGGGGCCATTAGAACTCCCCCCAACCCATCATAACATAAAATGAGGGTTTTCAGAACTCTGGCGCACCAAAAAAAAGAGAAAAAGGTAAGATGACATCAAAGGCTTGAGGGATTTTAGGAGTAAATATTAAAAAAAAACTCTGTGTTGTCCCGGGCTCTAGCAAAGCTGTCAGTTGACCTGAATACGAAACAATTTTGCAAAAACTCCCTGACCAGAAAACAGGACATGGTATAATAGCATCAGCATTATATTATATTACTTTGCTTCTCCAAAAAGCTACCGAGCTTTCAAATATATATATATATTCATTATTATGTGGTATGTAGTGAAATACTTAACCTTAAATTACATGGATTAATAGAAAAATCAGATGGAGAAGACATTTAGATTTATGATTATTCAGTAAGATAGACACTATGTTGTCTCCAGATGTGGTATTTCGACATTTGCAAATAACCATCAGAGTGGCAATAATTTAAAATCAAACACAGGGGACAGAAGCAGAACTGCTAACTTGGATCCAGTTTGCTGAGGTGTTTAAACAGCCTATTAGGTAACTCGGTATAACAGAAGAATCCCCAAAACCCACTAAGTACTTGTGTTTACCTGATACTGTTTGAGCTGTCCATTTATCAGTAAAGTGGACTGTTTCTCCACCTTCTCTGTGACGGCGTGAGCCACAGAGTAATATGACTGGAGTCCTCGAGCAAAAGCCGCCCCGCTGTACTCGTCGTCCACATCCTGTTTAGCATTCCTGCACAGAACAGGTAGGTAGCTTCACTTCAAAGGCAGCAGGTTAAAGTCATCTAACCGTATCGTGTCAGGAAAACTCACTCTATGATATGTCGGACGTCCACCTCTGACACGTCTTCACTGTCAGGGTCTGTAATCTTCTTCTTTTCTTCCACAGGAGCTGATGAAGGCTGAGGCTCCTCTTCTTCCTCCTACCAAACAGTTTCCCAGCTTTAGGTTGTTGAATTCTCAACAGAAGTGAGGATATGTATAGTGTGTAGATTGTAAGTTTTATATTAACCTTAGGAGCGCAACCCACCTCCTCCTCTTCCTCCTCCTCGCTGTCTTCACTGTCGGAGCGAGGAGCTACCTCGTAACTAAACAGACACAAATGATCAACAATATTAAATCAAACGATTTTTCTCTTTCTAAACTTATTATTTTAAAAGCTTTTTGGCACGAAAAACAGGATAAACCTAAATGGGTAGAAAATGTACCATGCTGCCTTGTAGGAACAGAAGAGGAACTCCATATTATCACCCAGTATAACCAAAGGTCCAAAAATAATTAGCCTTATATGTTTAAAAATTAGTTAATATATTCGATCTTGCTTTTTTTTTAGTTTGCAAGTAAGCTAATTAACCAAGAACATGTAGTGTAGAAGCTAAAAACCTACTAAAAAAGGTGTTTTATACAATAGAAAAACATCTGAACAAGGCTAATAGTTACTTTATTGATTTTTTTTTTAGAGCGTTTTAAACTTGGCTGGGAGATGTTGGATGATTCCAAACCTTTTTATTTCTAATTAAATTATATTTTTAATATTTTGTTTGTACGGGCTTATTGGAAATTTTCCAATACTGTACTTTTACAAGTACAGTATTTCTATAATAGACAGACAGATATTAAAACCAAGAACATTTTCAATAAGACTTAAAGCGTCTAAAGAATCTGTGAAGTCACTCGCCAACCTCTGAGCCTTCCTGGTTTTCATCCTTCATCTATGTGTTATTTTTTTCTCACCCTGGGTTCATTTCCAGCCATGTTTCCAGCTGTCCAGCCTTGGGAGCATCAACGCCTGTCAGGATATTCCCGCTGTCAACATGGATGACCTTAACAGGCAGGTCACTCATCTGGCTTGTTTCATCCAGGGGCTGCAACAGAAGGTATCCAGGATTTTCAAGTCATTTTCATTAGGCTTCATTGAAACATTGACATTTGTTATTGTTCATTAAAAAACAATAAAACAGCTGTTTGTATTGTTACGGTTCATTTAAAAGATGCGGTTGTTTTATTTTCATGCCATAAATGGCTCACCTCTCCATCCGGCCCGAGAGCTGGAGCCTGGCCCTCTGCGTTCTCTAACTGCAACACAAGCAAAATCAGCAGCAGACAAAGGTTACTGGTGGATACAACTTTCAAAAACATATATAGTTATTATTTTTTTTTTTTACCTTCTTCTTTTTCTTCTTCTTCTTTTTCTTCTCCTTGAGAGCCTGTGCAGCTTTGTGGGCTCTAACCAGCTCTGTAAGGTTGGCAACATACTCGTCAGTTTGCTGAAGCAAATAGGCCAGGCGCTTATCCTTCTTCTGGTCGATCAGTTTACGGTAACCTTCTTCATCTTCAGCCTGTGAAAAACAAACAGGTGAGAATCAAAGGGTTCCCAATAGTTATTGTGTGAATTAAAGGTATACCTCAGGTCCTAGGCAAAAACAATCAGTATTAAACTGACTGAGTATGGAGAGCAGCCTAAAGACCACTTTAACCAGCAGTGTGTTATCAATAAGTCATATTAATACAGATGTTGATGCTAAAATTAGCCTAGCATTTAACCAAGCAAATAAAGTGTATTTAAAATATAAGTGTAAGTGACTTTAGTATTCTTATGCTCCATTAACAAACTACTTTTGTTGTGATGGATTTGTATAATATGTTATATTACATTATTTATGGACTTCATAATGACTGTGCAATGTGATGTGCCTATTTTTTGTTTACCATAAATTACAGTAATCTACTGATGCCATGAAACAGCAAGTGTGTGTCAAAGTGATGACTTTATTTTAAAAGTTTTAAGCCCCCCTGAAAATGTTAAAATCTTTGTTGTTTGATGCTGTAGCACACGTATTGTTTACATTTTGACCAGTCTGACTAGGGAGTACCAATATGGCCGCTGGTGACCTCATAGCTATGTGTACTACTGATGGCCAATTGGACATAGAGTGAATAAATAGAGATCAGTGGTCTACACTTACCTGAGATAACACAGTCTTATATCACATTAGTTAAAATATATTACCAACTAATATGTTAACACATGATAAAGCTATTACCTCATTGAGGTATATTCTCTACTTTTTTTCTTTTTTAGATTTACTTTCCTTATGTGTATATAAATGCTTTTATTTGCATTCAGCTTAGCTGCTGGCATGCATGACTATCTCCACTATAAATGTTAATTCTATTCTATTCTATTCTATTCTATTCTATGCACATATGTAATGTTAACTTTAATGTGTCATTGGACTGGAACAGGTATCCGCTCCTTTCTTGATATCTGTTCTAGGTAGCCTTCTTTCTGTCACGTCTTACCATAAGCCTTCTCATCCTCTCTTTCTCAATGCGCTCATTCTCCTTCTTCTGTTCCCGCTCAGTGTTAGCATGGTAGGTGGCCACGGCTTTGGTCAGCTTCTGAATCTTTCCGGTGACTGAGCGGTGATACTCTTTGAAGTCTTTGGCATGCGCGAGAATGCTGTTGAGGTACTCCTGTTATCAAGTAGGGTGTAGATAGGTACAAGTGAAAAAAAAATTATAAATTACTATATGATGATTATCATACATGTAACTTTAGTTTTTTTTCCTTTACCTGATGTTTTTGTCTGCGTTTGCGCTCTTGTTCAATCTTCTGCTGTTTCTCCAGCTTCTCCGTGATGCGGGCCTCTCGCAGCGACTGACGTTTGCTCCGTTTGTAGGCTTTGGCATCCAGGGCGGTCTCAAGAGCTGTGTCGCGTCGCATGCACACCACCACCTCCTGACGCAGCTAGAGGCAGCACAAAGTGTTCCACCGAGAATATTATGTGGAAGATATAATATTTATGTTTAAAGTTCAACATACTTTATTTCCTACCTGTCTCTGAAAGTTCAGCAAACGAAGAGCTTTGAGCTCTATTGTAGCTTTGGTACGTAAATCACCAGCCAAAGAACCAGGCAGGTTCTCCAACTCAGCAATTCGGTGAGCAATTCTAGCCTGCAACCTGAAAAACCAAACAGTACATGATCACTTCCTTTCATAGATTTAATCCAAACACTAAAGATGTCTGGATTGAATCTAAGGTATGGTTCGGTTTATCCATCAAATCTTTTACAAATTATTGGAATGCAGAAACAAGACTCAACTCCAAATGTTTATCATTAGCAGTGTTGGGCACGTTACTTTGAAAAAGTAATTAGTTATAGTTACTAGTTACTTCTCCCAAAAAGTAACTGAGTTACTAACTGAGTTACTCCACAATAAAAGTAACTAGTTACTAGTAAAAGTAACTATTGCGTTACTTTTCCGTTCCTCGCCCCCGTAAACCTCACCACCCGGCCCCCACCTTCTCGCCGTGTGTTTCCAAAGCCAGCTGAATAGAGCGGACGACAAAGACAAGAACCTGCAGACAGTTTAGCATTTATTGCAACTCAACGTAAATGACATCAGGGGGGAACGCGATGTGAAGTTTTATAACAGGACATTCAGATCTGGTGAGTATATGAAATTAATAACTGGGGATGTCTAATTCTGAAATCCTGTGTGTTTGGGTTGTTATAGATACTGCAACATCTATCTATCCATCTATCTATCTATCTATCTATCTATCTAGATCTATACTCTGCGTGTGACATAAAATATGGATCTCCATCCCTGCCACAAAGGCCATCAAATAATGTTTAAAATAAAAAATACAGTAGGTTGAGAAGGCAGAGTATCCATCCATCCATCCATCCATCCATCCATCCATCCATCCATCCATCCATCCATCCATCCATCCATCCATCCATCCATCCATCCATCCATCCAGATTTCTCCCTTTCTCCATATAGGCTATCATTTCTGGCTGTTGTCAGGTTCATTTGATCGTTCCCGCTCTCCATAGTTCTCCTGTGGCGCGAGCACAGAGCGACTGTTGCGCGCCTTTAGCGAGCATGCGCGTTTCCTGCCGCTTGCGCGGTGACTCTTGCCGCCTGCGCTGTGTGGAGATGCAGAGGAAACCGTTATGTGATGGGGAAACGCAGCTCTACGTAACACCGGTATTTCCATGTGGAAAACGCTGTTTTGCTGCTGGAGTCATCCTCACTCTCCATCTCTCTGTGTGTGCTGTACGTTAACACCCACCAGCAGAAACACCCACCTTTTCAACTGACAGACGGAATCTCATCCTCCCCTCTCTCATGACAAGGCGTGCACCTCTTGATGACCTAAAAAATAATCTTTAATATCTCTTAAACAAAAGTAGCACAAACAATATTTTTTTCTGCACAAATCTGCACTAACGTTGCACTAACCATTCAGTCTATTTGCAGAGTTTTTTGACGTGGGTGGGGTGTCAGCTTCACGCAGCTGCGCACGAGTCCTATCATGAAAAAAGGTTCATTGTGCGACCTGAGTAACGCGCAGTAACGGGGTGTCTGCAATGGTAACTGCGTTATAGTTACAGTCAAAGTAATTAGTTAGATTACTCGTTACTAAAACAAGGTAACGGCGTTAGTAACGCCGTTAGTTTCAACGCCGTTAGTCCCATCACTGATCATTAGTGTGTCAATTCTGTGCATTTATGCAACACCAGTAGTTATGTGGCCACAACTCTCCCATTATTATTTTTAAGAATTGCTCTCTTTTTGTGTACAGTTGTTTAACAATAATAACAGGCTATACATTAGTTTGTGAGTCTACTGAAACAGGCCTTCTGCAGAGAAAACAGCTCTAACATTGCATATTACATTATAAATTGCCTTTTCAAGTCAGAGTACTCCAAAAGCGCTTTACACTACCTTCAGTCATTCACACATACATTCACAAAGTAATAGTGGTGAGGTGCATCGTAGCTACAGCTGCTCTGGGGCACGCTGACAGTAACACACATTGACCACCATCAGTGAGTAATGCACATGAGGTGTCTTGCCCAAAGACACAACGAATGAGAAGGATGGAACTGGGACTCAGACTACGCTCTGGTTGCAGAACAAAGTCCTTTATTCTGCACCGCTGTGATCCGTCATGTTTACTGTTCAAAGAAAGCCCCAAATATGTTATTTATGAAACTGATTCCCTAAGTTTTGTAAGAAAACAAGTAGGTGGAATCCCACCAATAAAAAAATGGCAAACATAAATATAAACAAGCCCTATCAAAATAACCTAATAAGGCTATCATTAGCCTAGCATACGGTGGCTGAGAGGTGCAAAGCACATTGACAATTCAAAAACACATTAACAAATAAAAAACAAAATAACATTTGAAGAAACTAAATTATATTTTATGAAAAAATGTATTTTTGAAAAAAAATAAATAAATTTTAACACTCATTTACATTTTAGGAAACAAATTCACATTTTAAATAAGTTAGATTTTAGGTGAGAGAAAGTTTCATTTTAGAGAAAAAAAAAATACATTATAGGGAAACAAATTTACATCTAAAAAAAAATTGACCGTTCGGAAACACTTGTACAAGTGCAAAGACAAAACTGCAAGCGACAAAACACAGTTACATAGCCAAAAACAAATTAACAAAAGAGGGCTACACGGAAAGGGAATGTCCCAGTGGCCGGATGTGACGTCACGATTACCCTGACTTGTAGTACAAACAGCTCAATCTGTAGTCCTCCTGCTTCACGTGAAAAGACAGCGGCGATTTTAGATGGAAAGAATTGCACTGAAGCTGTTTTTCTTAAGTTTACGCTAACCGAACAATGTTTTGCCCTTATTGTGGTCTCTGGAACTTTTACGGGACACACCTGGTCCGTGTCCCGTAAAAGTTCCAGAGACCGTCCGCACGAATAACAAAATGGTGTAAATTGGCTGAAATTTGCTCCACAATAATAAAATCGCCGCTGACTTTTCACGTGAAGCAGGAGGACTACAGATTGAGCTGTTTGTACTACAAGTCAGGGTAATGGTGACGTCACATCCGGCCACTGGGACATTCCCTTTCCGTGTAGCTGTCTTTTGTTAATTTGTTTTTGGCTATGTAGCTGTGTTTTGCCACTTTCAGTTTTGTCTTTCCACTTGTACAAGTGTTTCCGAACGGTCAATTTTTTTTAGATGTAAATTTGTTTCCCTATAATGTATTTTTTTTTCTCTAAAATGAAACTTTCTCTCACCTAAAATCTAACTTATTTAAAATGTGAATTTGTTTCCTAAAATGTAAATTTCTTTGCTAAAATGTAAATGTGTTTTTAAAAATGTTAACTTTTTTTTCAAAAATACATTTGTTTCATAAAATATAATTTTGTTTCTTTAAATGTTATTTTGTTTTTTATTTGTAAATGTGTTTTGCACTTCTCAGCCACCGTACTAGCACCTGTAAAAAAAAAAAAAAAAAAACAGAAAAAAACTACCATGCAAAGAATCAAGGTTAGCAGCAGCAAGACATTTTAAATGAAGGCTGTAGATATATCTTAAGAAACACAGAACTGTCCAGCAGAAAGTTCTTTTGGGATTAAACCCCTGGTCTTTTTGGGGAAAAGAGATCCTTTAATGTTTGGGAGAAAATTTCTGCTGGGTGAGATTAGTGGGAAGGAATCTTAATATTAAAGTTGACAATTATACAACTTATACCACTGTTGGTCATACAAGTAGTGGTAATATCTGTAATTGAACTAAAATGTCCTGTTACATAGTTTTAATCAAAATTATGCTCTACCTTTAAAGAGGCATTTTCTAATGATACTGCCACCTGTGGCTAAAACACAGAACTACAGCAGTAATTTAACACTAATTTAAAATAACTCCTACTAATCGACAATAAACAAACCTAACTAGGAGATCTAAAATAATCATTATTCATCTCACTGCCCATTTGTTTTTAAAATAGTTAGTGGTAAACATGCATAAAAGCAATGGTGCCAAGTTAAATTGCCTGTCAAATCTCCAGGAAACTTAGGCCGTTTCTCAATTCACAAGAACGCGAGTATGAACTCGTGTTATTGCCAAGTATATTCTTGAAAAGAACACAAGAAAGTATGGATTCAGGAAGAACAAGAGCATGCAGAATCGGCTATGCCAAGAGAGGTTGCCATTAGTCTCGGAGGTCCACTGGTTGCCCTGATTCTCTCAACATTTCAATTTTTTTTTAATGACGGATGAAAAACAGTAAATAGGCCATATAATTAGTGTTGCGCCAATACCATTTTTTGGCCACGATACCGATACCCGGTACCTGGCTGTGCAGTATCGGCCGATACCAATACCATCTGTTTAAAATTGATGTGTGTGTGCGTATATATGAAGTACTGCATACTACTTGGATGTAAAATAATTGCCATCATGGCTTTGTCAAGCTGCTGCCTAATACAAAGGGAATCCAGTAGAACTTTTTCTTGCCTACCTGCAATGGGTGACATCTCATGTTAGGGGCTGTGTAACCCACATACGTTTTAAATTCTCCTTGAAACATTGGTTGAAAACTAACCAGACATGTGTTCACAGGTAAATTCATCTGTTTCCATGGGCCTGTTAACCTGATTTTATTGTTAACCTAATTTTATTGTGATTTTAAGTTATTGGCATCTTATCTGTTTGTGTCCACTCTGTTCTCTCCTGTAGCGTCTTGTTTAATGTTCACGGTTTTTACCTGCCTTAGGACAGCGGATGCAAATTAGCTGTTGTGCTAATTCTGGCATATTTACATTTTTGCTTTATGCTGACATGTTGATGAATATGCATTGTCCTAATTCAAAAAAAAAAAAAAAAACATAGTTAAACTTTTGGCTCTCAAAATGGTATCTGTGCCCTATTGGTTGGTACCCGCCGATACCACCATTTTAGTGCTGGATCGGGGCCCCGCCCGATACTGGTATCGGTGCAACATTACATATAATGATGCTTAAAAGTATAATGTTCTTGCCTCAGATGATCTTAAAATGTATTTATGTAGAACCACGGCAACAAAAAAGAGAACTTTTAACTTATATACTCTGAGTTCTGTGAGCGCTCCACTGGAAGCTGCTGCTGCCGCGGTGCATGCTGGGACAGCTGACAATCTCAAGAACGGACAAGTCTGCTCTGAAGCATGCTGGGTTAAGAGGAAGGGGCGAGAACAATATCCGGGGACTTTGTCTGTTCTTGGTCTTATGTTTTTTTGAATTGGAACAGTACTAGGTCTGAGGCTGATGACATTTCATGGGCACATGAGTACTTTAGACGCACAAGTATACATATTGAGAAACTGCCCTAAATTTAAAAGCAAACTTTTTAGCTCCACCTAAATTTAGTTATGATTTACACCAGCAGGCAAACTGTGAGCTACTTCAGATAAAGTAAGATGAATCCCTATAAGGCTGTAATACCTGTACTCCCTCTCCTGTAGTATCTCCACGGGGTCGAGGCCGCATGGCTTTTGGATGGGAGTAATGCGGTTCTGCTTGGCGTGGTAAGGCATCATGGGAGGAGGCTGAGCTGGCTGACCAGGAGACTGGGTCTGTGGGGGCATCACGGGAGAGGCAGCTGGGGGAACCGATGGGGGAGCAGGAGAAGGCCTACCGGTGGGCTGAGGAGGGATCAGTTTTTGGGGTGCATTGGAAGGCGCTGCTGCGTTCACCATAGGGCCTGAGGGAAAGGAAAGGTTAACATAAAGCTCTGCCTCTCCCACCACAGCACGCAAACACTTTAACAGGTTTCTGCTAAACACACAGGAGGTCCGGCATTTTACAACAAAAAAACTTTGACAACATAAAGCAGCAAATTACATCGTTTAACATCAACTCAACATTAATTTTTTCAATTTTGTTTAAAATGATCATAACTCACATCCTAACCCATAATATACACTCACCGGCCACTTTATTAGGTACCCCATGCTAGTAACGGGTTGGACCCCCTTTTGCCTTCAGAACTGCCTCAATTCTTCGTGGCATAGATTCAACAAGGTACTGGAAGCATTCCTCAGGGAGTTTGGTCCATATTGACATGATGGCATCACACAGTTGCCGCAGATTTGTCGGCTGCACATCCATGATGCGAATCTCCCGTTCCACCACATCCCAAAGATGCTCCATTGGATTGAGATCTTGTGTCTATGGAGGCCATTTGAGTACAGTGAACTCATTTTCATGTTCAAGAAACCAGTCTGAGATGATTCCAGCTTTATGACATGGCGCATTATCCTGCTGAAAGTAGCCATCAGAAGTTGGGTACATTGTGGTCATAAAGGGATGGACATGGTCAGCAACAATACTCAGGTAGGCTGTGGCGTTGCAACGATGCTCAATTGGTACCAAGGGGCCCAAAGAGTGCCAAGAAAATATTCCCCACACCATGACACCACCACCACCAGCCTGAACCGTTGACACAAGGCAGGATGGATCCATGCTTTCATGTTGTAGACGCCAAATTCTGACCCTACCATCCGAATGTCGCAGCAGAAATCGAGACTCATCAGACCAGGCAACGTTTTTCCAATCTTCTATTGTCCAATTTCGATGAGCTTGTGCAAATTGTAGCCTCAGTTTTCTGTTCTTAGCTGAAAGGAGTGGCACCCGGTGTGGTCTTCTGCTGCTGTAGCCCATCTGCCTCAAAGTTCGACGTTCTGTGCGTTCAGAGATGCTCTTCTGCCCACCTTGGTTGTAACGGGTGGTTATTTGAGTCACTGTTGCCCTTCTATCAGCTCGAACCAGTCTGGCCATTCTCCTCTGACCTCTGGCATCAACAAGGCATTTCCGCCCACAGAACTGCCGCTCACTGGATGTTTTTTCTTTTTCGGACCATTCTCTGTAAACCCTGGAGATGGTTGTGCGTGAAAATCCCAGTAGATCAGTAGTTTCTGAAATACTCAGACCAGCCCTTCTGGCACCAACAATCATGCCACGTTCAAAGTCACTCAAATCACCTTTCTTCCCCATACTGATGCTCGGTTTGAACTGCAGGAGATTGTCTTGACCATGTCTACATGCCTAAATGCACTAAGTTGCTGCCATGTGATTGGCTGCTTAGAAATCAAGTGTTAATGAGCAGTTGGACAGGTGTACCTAATAAAGAGGCCGGTGAGTGTAGATCTTTATTTAAGTGTAGGTACAGCTGCATTTAGACATTTCTAAAGATTAAGGCTTATGATAAACAGATTTAAGGATAGATAAACGCAGCAAGAAACAACTTTATGTGTTGTGTAACAAATGTGCGGAATAAGAATATCGAAAAAAATATTAATAGACTATAGAAATTAGGCTTTAATTGTTGATTGCTCAAGTGGGTAGAAATAACAGCATAAAAGAAAATAAACAACCTTTAAAAGAAAGTTTGATTTTGAAATGTGTGACAGCATCCTGGAGAGAAATATCAGCTGTGCTGCTGCCATCAACACCTTTGTTTCTAGATAATCGAGATCCAGTGTAGTCCTGTTTCTCTGACTGTGACTGGCTTGATGTGCTCTCCTCATCCTCTGACATGAGACCTGGCTCTGAGCTCGTCTGCCTGGCTGTGTGATTCCTGGACAGAGCCACCGGTGAAGCTGGTTTACAGCTGCCTTTTTTTTAAATCTCTGTTTCTTTTTCTATGTCTGCTTCTGTCTCCTTGAACCCCATTCAGCCTCAGCAGATGTTCGCTCACACTGAGTCTGCTGCAGGTTTCTTCCTGTTAAAAAGATGTTTTTCCTCTCCACTGTCGCTACAATCATGCTTATTGCATGGGATTGCCTTTGAGTCAATGAGTCGATGCAATCAACTGGTTTTCCTTAGATAGAAAACTTTGAAATGACATGTATTGTAAATTTGTGCTATATAAATAAACTGAATTGAATTGAAATTATGATCATTTTTGGAGCCATAATTAGCTCTATTAAAGTGAGTCAATGCATTTATAAAATAACTAGTTTAGGCACTTCATTTTTTCAACAGCATCTATACGTAAGAGAACTGTTTTTCAGTTACACTGCAACAGCTGTTAGTCCATAGATACACACATAATTGGTGTGAAACTTGTACACATTATTAAAGCTTTATTATAGCAAAGGTATATAAAACCGGTAATTGATCAAAAAAACTACCCAAAGCAAATAGGATGTGTCTGAAAAAGGTATTTTTGGGAAACAAAAAACAAAACAAAAAACAGACTAAAATGTGACACAGCATCATTCCTCATCAGAAATGAATTAATCTTTTTGGTGCAGAAATATTTCCTTTCTGCCTAAATATAATACATTTCACATTTATTGTTTTTTCTACATGTATCTTAGGCAGTGGGATCAAATTTGAGACTCTGGTATGTTTATCTTTTGGTTTGGTTGTTGATTCTGTTACTTTATTGCTATACCTGCTGCTTGTAGTCAAACCCCTTTGTGATGGTTAAGGTCAGAATTCATCAGCTAAAATATTTTTCAGGGGATGGTTTCATAGATTTTCTGAATAGTACCATATATAGAATAAGATTTTGGTGACAGAAATCAAAATAAGTTGCTTCATTTTGTAGTCTGACAGGAAAACAACTAACCTTCAGGCCATGACTTGGATGGTCCATTGGGATTCGGTCCTTGCATCCCAACTGGAGTCCCTGAAGGACCAGGGGGAGGCATGTTGGGACCCATCATACCTAAGGTATACAAGGATATATAACACCTGTGCTTCATTGGTTGACTTTTACTAATTAATTTAATATCAGAAAAAAATACAACAACATCTGATTGTTTTTACGTTTTTTTTTTTTACAATTCGAAAAGATCTACATCAGTATTCTGCACATTCTACATGGACACTCACCATGAGGCCGGCTGTAGCTGGAGCCCATTGGCCCAGGCCCTGATCCGGGTCCTGTTGGACCACCACCTGGTCCTCCACCAGCTCCAGAGACCAGACTGGACATGGGCTGCTGCTGCTGCATCCCTGGCATCGGCCTTTTTCCCTGTACAGCCATTTGGAGATGGTCAGGCAGGGGTTGTCCCCGGGCTAGCATTTTATATGCCATGATCTGGGCTCTGAGCTGGTGAAGCTGATTTTGGTTAAAGGGAGTCGGACCACCAGGACCACCAGGGCCGCTACCATCAAGGCCAGAACCAAGACTGGGCATGCTAGAGCCAAGACTAGGCCCAGGGCTTGGGCCAGGTCCAGAACTCCCTGTTGGTCCAGAACGATTAGGCCCCAAAGAATGCTGATCGACACTGGGACCGTCCAGAGAGGCTGAGGCAGAACCAGCAGAGGAGGATGAGGAGGAGGTCGATGGCATAAGAGGACCAGATGGGGGGCCGTTTGAAGCAACAGGGCTGGAGTGGTCGGAGCCACCTAGAGGAGAATGGTAACCTGGAGGACCCAAACACAAACGCAAGGAGGGAGCAATTATAACAAAACAACAGTGACCGCAGTTTGGTTTCAGTCTCAGTAGATCCGTGACATGCATATTCTGAAATATCAAAATCATTTTGTGTTCCACAGCCTGCAGCAAACCTAAACAATGAATCACCACCTAACCCTCATTAAATCCTGCAAAACTCCTATTTCAAAAGCTTTCTCAGACAGACTCCCTGCGTTAAACCCAAGACCAGCTGGGTGTTAGTCCCTGCATGTCTTTCTAACAGAAGGAAATACCACACAGCTGTTGTCTGATAACAAACTCTTTTCTTTTTTGTTTAAGCTACACTGAGTTGTGAATTAATGATTCCCATTTAGTACCCACAAAAAAAAAGAAAACAAATGAACAGAGTGAAAACAATCCTTCATACATTGTAGGGTGTGACAACAGCTACACTGCCTGTGAGGAAATGCAACCACATCGCCCCCAATTCCACCACTCCTGTCCTTACACAACCCTGGAAGGAATGACATTACTTCAGATTGTTAAATTACCTTGTGAGTGTTGGTCCAGAGGGCTGGGTGGGGGGCCCATACCGCTGTGCCCGCCCTGTCTCATCGACAGCCCCTTCATCTGACTGAAGCGACTGTCCTCACACAAGCTCTTCTCGTGCATGCCCTCCATCGGCTGTAGGAAATATTCAAAGAGAAAATGAGACATTAAATGCAGAATGAAATCCATATGGCATGTGTTTATAATCAGCCCCCTTTACTTGGAGACCTCCAAATGAAATCATGTATGAATACAGTTGACCTGAGAGTAAGTTAAATCTGTTCTGTGAAGGCCTCGGAGGATCGTTAGTGAACATTAGTGAACAAACTGCCCCTTAAAGACCAAAAGTTAACAGTGGATGGGTCAGGGAGAAATCTTTAGAGAAATTTAAAATAGAAAAGAATATCCTTGGTTTTAAAAATCATTCAGGGCTCTATTCAGTCCATCATTTGAAAACAGAAGTAGACACAACCAGTGTCTCCTTGGCCAGTACACCTGGTCCAATAATCAGAAGAGGAGCTGCAGAGATCTACAGCTCAGGTGGAAGAATCAGTTCACACAACATTCTACAAATCTGACTTTTATGGAGGAACGCTACTGCTGAAATGGAGCTGTAAGAAGTTCAGTTTGCCATCAGCCACGAAATGGGCACAGTGATCTGGGGGAGAAAGGGTTTTATTTGGATGAGACCAAACCAGAACTTTCTGGTCAAGGGTGGTGATGGGAGCAGTAGGCTGAGGATGTTTCTACTGAAGGAACAGGGAAGCCGATCAGAGTCCCTGGGAACATGGATGAACCTATGAGGCAAAGCTAGAAGGAAACCAATGGCAAACTTGACTTGAATCAGGAAACAGGTTCAACCTGCAGCTTAACAACCATAGACTTACAGCTAGAATGGAACTGTTCACGTCTAAGGATACTGCTGAGCTAGAAGTCTAATTGCTGTTCCACCCAATGTTCCGCTGCGTTCCTGAGCTTGAGATATTTTGCAAAGAACATCTCAGCTTCTTGATGCACCAAACTGGTGGAAACATACCGCAAAAGGCTTTAAGAGATAATAAATAGAAACACACCAACGCTAATTTATGGCACTTCCTAAAACAGAAAACCTGTAAAGTAATAGGCGCCTATATATTATTTTTCGTTGTTAAAACAATTATTACACTTTAAAAACACTGTAAGCAGGTAACCTCTGGCAGTGGACCCCATAAAGCAGATTATATGACAAAACTAGTACAAATGAGGAAAATGCATACTCTAAAAGATTTCCTCCCTCTTGGATGGGGATTAATGTGTGCGTTAATAAAACTTTTCAATTGGCGTGTAAAGATAAACAAAGCCTAGAATGCAATGTAACGTCCATCCATCCATCTTCTAACACGCTTATCCCGAGTGGGACACACAGAGACATCAATTAACAGTCATGTTTTTGGACTGTGGGAGGAACCCAGAGTACCCGGAGAGAACCCACACATGCTCAGGGAGAACATGCAAACTCCATGCAGAAAGACTGTGGGCCGGGAATTGAACCCAGAACCTTCTTGCTGCAAGGCAGCAGTGCAACCAACTGCCCCACTGAGCAGCCCCAAAATGTAACCCAGTATAGAAAATTAATATATCATATCATCTGCATCCATAAATAAATAGATCATATTTTTTCATTGACATTGTAATGGAATTGTTAGAAATAATAAAGGGTCAGAGTAGGACGCCCTGGACTGACTTGTCCTTACTTTGTGCAGAGGGTGCATGTTTTCCTGGCCATATCCAGAAGGCCCTGGCTGGGAGTGCCCAGATGAAGGAGGAACAGGACTGGGCCCCATCATGCTGTGAGAGGAGCCAGGGGAAGGACCTGGGCTGGGGCCCAACATTGCGTTTGGGGAGGGGCCAGGACCGGGGGAGGGACCCGGACGGGGAGTACCCCCCATGGGAGGATCAGGTGTTGACATCGCCCTGGATCTCCTGCTCCTGGGAGAAAAGGGGCAAACAGAGGAAAAAAAAAAAAAAAAGGAAAATTGTCTATTTAATATATAGAATTATTAAGTCTGTTTGATCTGTTTTTAATATAAATAAATTGATATTATAGCAGAATTTTAAATGCAGCCGCGCGGCAGTTTAATTTTATGATATAAAGAAAATAATGATTCATTTCCAGAACAGAGGGGATTTCTCCAACGCTTTTCAGGAGATTCTCTGCTGCGCTGCACCAAACCGCTCGATGCGTAAAAAAATCCCAGCAGCGCTGAACTTGATCTGAACATGGACAAATCCTCTCAGTTCTGCACAGGAGCCCCTGCTGCTGCCAATTTCCTCCATCAATGCATGGAAGAGGGTCTGGTTAAACATAAAATAAGGGGGAATGGCGGACTGTGCTTGTGCTGACTGACCTACCGGCATCAACAGAACAGGCAGTCTGGGCCGAACCTGTGCGCTCCCAAGCCGATATTTTAGGGGAGATGAAAGAAGACGCTGCAGATGTCGCAATTAGTCTCCTCAGCCTCTTTGTAATCCGCCTTCAAGCGTTGATTTGCTTCATGGACGTGGCTCGAGCGCCCCCCTCCACCGCTCCTATGACCGAATGTCTAGTCACTGCCGCGAGGCAGCGCGCATGCGCGCGCAGCGGCGCATCGGGACAGAACCATAGTGGATTGAGGAGCGCTTACAGTTCACCTTAAAATCATGATCATTAACACACCTGCTTCTTTAAGGGCGTATTCATAGCCTTCGGGGACCTAGACCATTTTCTTCTTGCAGGGGGACCACAAACACTTGATAAATTAATCAGTGAGATTTTTAGGCAAGGCAAGGCAAGGCAAATTTATTTGTATAGCACAAGGCAATGCAAAGTGCTTTACATGATTAAAATATAGGAAAATAAAACAGAATCAAAACAAATAGGAAAAAATAAATAAATAGAAATGCAGAAACAAAAAAGAACATTGAAAACAGTTGGACTAAAGAAAATAAAAACCTTGAACTTGATGTTTCAGTTGAAGTGTTTAACTAGAACAGTCGAAGGCAATCCTAAACAAATGTGTTTTTAGTCTTGATTTAAAGGAACTCAGGCTTTCCGCACTTTTACAGTTTTCTGGAAGTTTGTTCCTTATTTAGATGGGTCATAAAAGTTTCAGCCACTTTGGTAGTGTGATGCAGAGTCCAGTTTAGGGTTCAACAGTTCAACAGTCTTGAGGCAGTGGGGAAGAGGCTGTTGCAGAACCTATTCGCAGATCTTTGCAGAATGGATGCATATATCTTAGAATTATACACACAACTGGACTCAATCTAATTACTTTAGTACTGAAGGAAATTGGTTGCACTGACATACAGGGGTATAAGATAAGCGACTGAATACAAAATATAGATTTGAAGTTTGTATTTTGACCGTGACATCTGAATATTTCAGGAGGTAAGAATACTTTTGAAAGGTTTTTTCGACCAGAACTTGATTTCTTTTTAATTTTCTATTTTTTAAAATAGTTTTTCAATTTAGGAAAGTTTCTGCTTTTGAATTCCAAGGATAAATTGGACCATCATTTCTGAAAGACATGAGTTGACTGTTACATGGATATTTCAATAAATAAATAAAATCAGATAAGATAAGATCAGAATGAGTGTGCGAGGGGCATGTAGAGTCTGCATATTGATTTTTATTCCCTTCACTATCATCGTAGATTGTAATAAAATCAAAAATCAAAATCATCTATCAGATTTATTCAATTAACGTGTTTAAGTTTCCTTGTACTTATTTACTAAGCAACAATCATCTGCAAAAGTTCCTACAATGGTTCTCGACAAGTCTTGTTATAACATATTAATTCTAAATCACTACCAGTTCCTTTATTTTTTTTATTCATTTGAATACAAAGTTAGTTTTTAATAAATTAGTTCAAAATGTGTCTAAGAAAAAAAGAGGTATCAGATTTTCTCTTCAGCCAAGCTAAACATCGGTTTAGCTGGAAAGATAAACTGCTCTCTAGAGAAGTGCATTGAGGGAGGCTAAACTAAAGCAGGGAGTTAAATCATAACAAGTGTGAATGGCTATTAATTAAGACTGAGGGGAAAGGATCCTCAGCGTAATCATCAAGTTCATTAACTGCTGGGATACACAAACTGCTGAGTTTAGCAAAAGAACAGAACAGAAGCCAACTGTGTTTCTTTGCATTTTATTCATTTTAAGACTTGAGAGGAAGAAAATAACCTGCAGAGCATTTCTTGGATGAAAGGGTTAATTAGATAGAAGTGATATAAAGTGCAAAGTTAGTGGCAGCTATATTGGACATTACAGTCAGAACAGGTGAGTAGACTAAATTTTCCTCTTCACACAACTTTATTTTTCTTTTTTGAAACTTTGATAGCAGAATAAAAATTAAGCGTTGTTTTTTTTCTCTCCTGTCTTTCCCTCTGTTATTGAAGGCTTTTTTGTATTATTACCATTGTTGTATTGATAAGAGTATTTTTTTTTTCTTAGACCCTAATTTTTTTAATATATATGTATGCTTTATACTCAGGTGTGTGACTTTTGTATGTTGCACTTTCAAAACTTAATAAAGATATCTTAAAAAAAAAAAAAATTAAAAACTAAGCAGCATTTAGTTCCTATGCTCCAGTTATCTGGAACAAACTTCCAGAAAACTGTAAAAGTGCAGAAAGCCTGAGCTCCTTTAAATCAAGACTAAAAACACATTTGTTTAGGATTGCCTTAGACTGTACTAGTTAAACAGTTCAACTTTTTTATTTTCTTTAGTCCTACTTTTTTTAATATTCTTTTTTGCTTCTACATTTTTTTATTGATTTTTTTCCTACTTGCTTTGATTCTGTTTTATTTTCCTATATTTTAATTCATGTAAAGCACTTTGCATTGTCTTTGTACTGAATTGTGCTATACAAATAAATTTGCCTTGCCTTTATATTAATGTCAGTTTGGTTGTACCTGGAAATGCTCGTATTCATTAAGGAGATACCGGCTGTGAAAAATCCAAATTTAAAACGGTTCCTACACATTAATAGAGCAAATTTTCTACACCTATAAATCCTCCACCATTTAAGTTCATATACATTTATAATATGCTGAAGCATTTTAAAGTGTTACAGCAAGTAAAAAAAAATCTGAAATCCAGAAACAATTCGGAAGGAAGGGTTAAGATGGGAGAGAAATTAATATGGGAAAGTGTGGGGGTTATTATGATTTCTGTTGTTTTTATCATTTTATTCTTTTATATGTTTTATATTGCTGTCAATCATTTGTTTTTCTATATGTTACTCTCATCATTCGAAATAGTGTATGAAGGTCATAAGACAGTCAAATGTTTTGCAAGAATGCTTTCCTGTTTTTGAGAAGCAGAGAAGTGAAAAGTCATAACTCAGACACCTTGTGTAAGCGTATACTGAAATCAGACAAGTTCCCTATCTTAAAAGTTTATGCTATGTCTAAGAGACTGCGTAATCGAAACTAATGCCTGCTGTTGTAATGTGTTGACTGCTCAATAAAAAGCCTGGCAAGTGTTGAGCCAAGCGGAGATGCAGAGATTGACAGTTCAACTCTGGACTCCCCTTTGCAAAGCATTTCAGGAAAAATCTTACACTGTCTTTGTTTCCATTTTTTATAGGTTAAGGTTTGGGAAACTTAACAACCCTAACAGAAAAGATGGAAGTGTGGAAAAGATGAAGGGTGAAAAGGAGAGAAGTGAATGGAGGAAATATTGACACAAGGAACACAGGATAGGGAGGATGGAAAGAATGAAGAAACAAGGAAAGGGAAATGAAAGGCTGAAAAACAGTAGAATAGTAGGAAAGATGTGATGTAAGGACAGAATGGGAGGAAGATATGCAAGAAATAACAAATCTCAATCCTTCAGAATCCTTTTGATGTCTTACCTTTCCAGGCTACTTAAGAACCATTTATTCAATTTTCACCTATTTTTCCTTTTCACTGAGGATTGTAACTCATGTCCATGAAAATGATTTACAGCAATGAACTGAGGAAGGATTTTTTTCAGCTATTGGGAAATATTAGTGTAACACAACCTTAGAAGAATGGCATTTGTGATTTTTTGAAATATAACATTTTTAATTTTACTGAGGGTGCCAAAGGCAAAACACTAGCTCAGAGGGGACTGTGATTTTTTCTGTTGCAGCCCCTAAGCAGTGTTGTGGTCAAGACCACCTAACCCGAGTCCAAGACAAGACCAAGACCAGAGTGTATCGAGACCGAGATAAGACCAAGACTTTTAGGGTCCGAGACCGAGTCAAGACCAAGACCGAGGGAAGTCGAGACCGAGTCAAGACCAAGGCCAGCGCCAGTATGTGACAATAAAATGTGACACATGATCAAAATCACAAAAATTGATCTAAAAGACCCACATTCACATAAAAAAACACCTAGATATTTAACAGACAGAACTGGACTAAACATTAACATCTTTATTTAGTACTTCTGTGTAATAATCACAGAATTTCAAACAATTAATCAAAGTCGATCAAAATTGTATTTTCTCTGCCTTTCATGAACAGTACATACATTTATGCTGTTTTTAAATGTGCTATTTCAAAACAATGTGCAAAAGTGTAAAACTGAAAAAATTCCAATCATTTCTCTTGTTTCTCTCTCATATACAGATTAAAGCTATATTATATAACGTTTCTTAAATAAATCTATATCTGTCACCAAGTTGTGAAATATGTTATGAGACAGATAATTTGTTGAAAAAATAGATTGATCTCCTTCACTTCCTCCCTGAGCTACTACTGACATCTGCAGAAATACAAACCCCACTGAAATACAAAGTGCACAAAAGCCTGACTGACTTTTTTCAGTTCCAAGAACCTGTTGCTGAATCAGATGGTTTGTTTTTGACCAAGCAGTGTATTTCTCTAGTTAGTACTGGGAACTTGTGACTTTCAATCGAAGTGCTGCAGCCCGCGCGCAGTTGAAAAAACAAAAAAAACAAACAAACATGCCTTTACCAATGAGACAGGTTATTGCTTGGATTTGAATCCAAGCATCCAATAAAAAGAAGGATCTTAAAGAAACGGATAATATTCTGATGATTAGCATTATTTCCACAGTTGTGGTCTTGACCGGTCTGGAAATAAAATGCTGAGTCGTCAGTGCCCGAGACCATCAAAAAATGGTCTCGAGACCAGTATCGAGACCAAGACCGATCTCGAGTACTACAACACTGCCCCTAAGCTATGGAATGAGCTTCCTCTGGCCATATTAGCCAGGTCTCTTCAGTTTTAGATTTTAAATCTCTTCTTAAGACCCATTTCTTTTCCTTGGCTTTTAAGAAAATGAGATGTTGTCTTTGTCTTACTGTATTTATTTTATTATTCTATTATTGCTTTTTATTTTATTACAAATATTATACACTTTATTTTTTTATGAGTGATTATTTGTAATTTATGATTGTGTATGGCACTTTGATCCTGTTGGGTGTTGACAGTGCTTTATAAATAAATTTGGTACGGTACAAATGTACAACTATAATAAACCATAAAATTAACTGAAACTTGGGTATAAGATGCAGAGAACGGGTCTGTTTTAATATTTCCCCTTAGGAAGGCTAAAGTCAAAATAGCAACTCTTAAAACA